GCGTGGGAATGTACACTGCCATACTTTTTTCCGTTTTTTTTTCCGTTTTTTTCATTTTTTTTCGTTTTCTTTTTCGTTTTTTTTTTCGTTTTTTTTTTCGTTTTTTTTTTCTGTTTTTTTCGTTCGTTTCACTCCGACGTTCGGGATGCCTGCGCACGGTAGTCCGAGCCTCGGCACGGGTAAGCGTACCGGTCGGCCGGGGCTCGGATTCGATAGCTGGGCCAGGTACTGGTGGTTTAAGACAGAGTGAAGGAGTTTTACGTGGATCCGGATCAATAACAAAGTCTGTAAGAGAAACCGGCTGATGCTGCGGGGATAACTTTGTGAGGTCCCCAACGTCCTGTAAGTGAAAGTTTGGGAATAATAATCAAGGATCAATTCAAAAACAAAAGGAAAAAAAAAAGAAAAGGAAAGCCAAAAAAGACGAAGGGGGGGACCTTCACCGCACCTGCAACCACCTCACGGCGCTTGCTTGCGCCCTTTTGAAGTGCGGCTCAAGCGCGGCCAGGGAGGTGACTTGAAAAATCCCCCCATTTGCCTGGGCCGCACTTCAGCCGCACTTGACTTTTTCCCCGCCCGTTTGCTAATCCCGGAGTCCTAATCACAGCCGGAACGTGATTAGCGAAACTCAAGTGCACCGTGGAACGGTGTTCGGCAGGAAATACTTGAGTTTCGAGCGATTTGGTAATTGAAAAAAAAAAGAAAATAAAAGTTGGTTTTCCTGGAAAACTCGAATACAACGCGCACGTGTTCTGCTCGGGGGAAGATGGTAGGCTTGCGGGGTGAGTGGTTGGTGTGTGTAGCGGTGAGGCCCTTGGGCGAGTTTCGACATGGGTTCAGTTCTCACCCAAACCCCGAGGCGTTGGTTGGGGTGAGCAGTGCAGCGAGGCGCAAAAGCGGTAGCGGTACTCGTTTTTTGGGCGCCGCGCGGCATCGGGGGTGGTTTTGAGGAGCGGGTTAGAGGGGGGACAGAGGAGGGACGGGGTGCAGCGGAATAGCAGCGTCTGATAGCTAAGGCGATCGACCTGGTACGGCGGCCAACTGATTGGCATTGGCGGAACCCCGAATGCAGGCGGAAAGGGCGGGGAAGGTCGGAGCGGAATCGCGATTGACAGGTGCGGAACTGTGGCGCAGCGTCGGTGCGCGGTAGGAGGTGACGTGGCACAGTCTAGTCACGCACTGCGGAACACCCACCAGTCGGAGCAGGTAAGCGGATGCACCTGAGAACGTCGGTCGGACCGGTAGCAGGACCCGGATTGCGTTGCGGTGCACTCTACGGAGTGAGATTGAACGGTTGAGGATTGGAAAGGCAGCGATGGAGAGGTCTGGCCGAGTTGAGCTGCAGCAACGGAACCAAGAGGTATGGCGCGCTTGCTGATCTCTATTTTCGTTTCTCTCTCTCCTGCATCTTCTTCTCCTTCTCCCGGGGTTTCTCTGTCCTTGGTGCAACCTTCCGTCCCTTTCTAAATGTCCGCAATGGCGTGGTCCTGCCTTCCTTACAGGGATGATCTGTCTGTCTGCTACTGTCGACCGTGGCCGCTCATCTGTTTGTCTCGCAGCCGTCTGTCGAGGGAAGCTGAACGAGGAGGGAAGGGGTTTGCTTCGTCGTGCCTCTCCGGCGCTGCGCGCCGCGTGATACGTTCCGATCTTACCGCAATCCTGTGCTCTTATGTCCTCTCCTTCCTCCCCGTGATCGGTAGGGGGGGGTGTGATTTGCAATCTCTCAGAATAGCAGCGCAGCGGCTCCTTCTTGAGGGTTCCTGAATGCATGTGCTCTTGTCTTCTCTTTTCTTCCCTACGGTGGCCCTCCGCATGGCTGGGCCTATTTCTTCTTGCCATTAAGCGTTTTTCCTCCGTTAAGCTCCGTGCCAATCTCCGTATGTCTCCTTTCGTCCTCTCGTCTTTACGTATTTTGCTTTCCATCAAGGCCTCGCTTCTGCGCTGGCGCGTTCTTCGTCATACCAGTGTTTTCTTGTCTTTTCTCTTTCCCTCTTTCCCTCCCCCCTCCCCCCTCCCCCCTCCCGGCCCTCCTGCTCGCTCTTTCTGCCTTCGCTGTCATGTTTCATATTTGCATCACTCCGCTCCTTATTTTCCTCGTGATGCCTCTCGGGCATTTCTTGGTCTGTCGTCTTCCCCTCGTCTTCCTTCTCCGGTTCCTGTTCGGTATTTAACCTGTTACACACGTTCCATGTTCTTTCTCGTGATCATCCGCTTATTCCTGCCACGCGTCCTTTCTCCCGCGTTTTTTCTGTGGCCGGTTTCGTACGTGCCTTGCCGTCGAGCTTCTGTCCTATCGGCGCACTTTTCTGGTTGATGCTACTTCCTGCCGTCGCCTGCATGTGATCTTCTCCTCCCTCTCTCTCTCTCTCTCTCTTTTTTCTACATGGCCTTCCCCAGGTGCTCCGGCTCCTCCTCTTCCTCCTTCGTGCCCTACTACCCCTGTCCTTGGCGGCTGGACCGCCTGGTCGTCGATTGTTGGATGACACCTGGCCATGGCCGCATCTGATCTGTTCCCCCCCTCCCCTCCCCTCTCTCTCTCTCTTTTCTAGATGGTGTCCTCATGTGCTTAGTCTCCTCCCCCTGCTCTTCTTCCTTAGCGCCCCACTGCCCCTGTCCTCGACGGCTTTGTCGCCTCGTTGTTTGTCGGATGACACCCACGCCATCCCCATCGCCATCGCCATCGCCAGTCTCGTCGGCTTCTTTGTTCCCGAGAAGCCGGGAAGAAGTCGAGTCCCGAACCCACGACGTACTTGTGTCAGGAGGAGGGCACAACGCACTTGCCTTGCTGTTCATGTTATGGCCGGCATCGTATGCGTCAAGGGGCTGTCCGCGTGTCATTGCCGTCGTCGTTGTCAGAGCCACTGCCACCTCGACGTGCTTGACAAGCAAATCAGGGGGAAAGAAAGATATCTATGTTCTGACTTTTAGTAATATAGTAACAGTAGGCGAGCATGGACCACGTCAGCTGTATTTTCTTCTTCTCGATCATCGCTGTTCGTTTATTGTTGCTGTCAAGCATTAGGTCATTTTCATAATCGGTCTGGTAATACCTCCCCCCTCGTACTTGTGCTGATGACATCGATGATGATAAGCGTGTGTTCGTCAGTTGCGTCTCTCTCACACGCAGAGCACCTTTGTATGTAAGTTGTCGTTATCATTGCGCACGTGTTTATGGCGTTTGGATTAGGGGTTTCAGTTTCTATCTGATGCCGCCGGTCAGTTTCGACGGATGGGGATGGAAAATACTTTTAGGATTTGTTTCTCATCTCTTTGGGGCGTACTTATCACTATACTATCTTGAATGCATTTGACCGTATTTACGCCCAAATGCATTCACTTCATCATTATCGTGTGCGGTCATATGATTTTCTGCCATGTTCTTGGCTTACCGTAATCCGAGAAGATGGATACCGTTCCTTGTCTGAATCATCTATACCCTGGTCTGCATCATTCTCTCACACACACACACACACACACA